TTCTCCAGTTCTTAGAAAAGTTTACCACTTACTGTGGGCTCTCTGGGTACCCAGGTGGGATGAGGAGGGCAGCCAGTGTCAGCAGAGAGGCTGCTCTTTGAACTGTGATTGCTTTATCTCCAGTCACTGTTTGCTCACTCATCGGAGAATGCTGCCAGAGATGAACATCAGAAGGATTCTCCCGCCCTTTATTCTGTCTGCTCCCTGCAAAGTTTGGACATTTGTCTGCCCTGCTCCTCTGGCACGACTGAGGACGACGGGTCTCTGTGTGACGTTCTGTCGGCCGGGCTTCCCAAAGGGAAACATCTGCCAGTGGGAAAGCAGGGGGGAAACCCCTTCTGCAGTAGAGACGGGCTGCAGAAAGCAAACGTGGACTGCTGCTGACATTTAAATCATGGCTTTTGGACTGCTGAGGTTCACCATTTTCCCCTCTCACCTTGTCACCCTTGAGATTACAATTTCAAATCCCACGCTGCATTTATAGTATGTTACAACAACACAACTGTCTTGTTACGTTCCCTGTGTGTGGAACACTGAGTTATCCTGAAAGGGGACGTGGGACACACAGACAGGTCAACAGTGCACCCTTCTCCCACTGCATGATGCCCTTTGTGGCCAACCCTTCTTTTCTCTCCCTCCTGTCACCAATAAGAGCCCCAATTTCTTTAGAAAATATGTAAAATGGAAAATCCCTTCACTGATCACAGAGAGCTCATTATAGCTCTAAAAAGATGAAGTAGAAACTAAGATGCTTCATGTACCACAGCAGAGGAGTGGGAAAAAATCCACTGCTTCCTTTAGGGTAAAAACAGAGCAGCCCTTTAACCTGCAGGTGAGGCCCAGCCTTCCTGCGATGCCTACGTGATGCCACATTGTGGCACTACATTCTGTCCTCCTGCAAACCTTTCACTGGGAGGAATGTTCCCAACGCATATGTGGCTAAATGATCGACTGTAGGTAGAATCAGAAGTCAAGGATGAGAATCCTCCTTGCCCTTCCCCCTTCTCACCATGGAACCTTGGAAGAGGTCTTTCCCCTCTCTGGGCTTCAGTTTCCTCATTTGTAAAATCAAAAGTTCTTGCTATGGATTGGAGCTTGAATCCCCCTGAAGCCCAAATGTTCATGGTGTGACTCACAGCCAGTGGCACTCTTGGGAGGTGGTGGAGCCTTTAAGAGTTGAGCCCAATGAGAAGTTAGGTTATTGGGGGTCACATCGGGACCCCTCAGCAAGCCACCATGAGATGACTGTCTCCTGGGGTGTCATGGTTTTCTAAAATGACGTCTGAGGAACATTTTGCCTCAAAATTAGCATTCGGGTCCCAGAGCTCCACAACCAGGGCTAAAGGAAGCACAGTTGGAGGTGGTCAGGCCCATGGAGATAGGAAGGCCATTCTTGTGAAGGGCAGCCCTCAGTGTGCTCCATCTCCAGACAGCCCAGGAGCCTCAGAAAACCCAACCTGCTGGGCCTTCTCAGACTGCACCAACAGCTCCTACCTGCTGGGATCACTTGTTTTGGAATATGCAGAGACCAGACCTGACTGTGGAGTGTGATTTTTAAAAAGTGGCTAATTTACTTTTTTTTTATTAGTGCATGTTTACAATGTATAACAGTGATGTTTGTTTTGAGGAATTATTAAAGGCATTCCTGAGAATTTTGAAAATCAGTTCTGGAAACTGGAAAGGAACAATTCCTAAAATCCTCTGCAACTGGCTTCACTTGTGGTTTCTAGCGTCACAAGGGACCCGAGGGAAAGAGGAGCTTGTGACAAGGGGCAGGGGTCTTGTGAGTACAGAGGCTGGGGTGGGGTGGAGGATGTGGGGCAGGTGAGGGCTCTGTGCCCAGACACAAGGAAGGAAGCTTCTGGAAGTTCTCCAAGATTGTGGTGCCAATGTTAATGAGACTTTCTGACCTGACTGTGCCCTGTACTCCATCTCCCCTCTACTGGCACCTCAGCTGTCCTCCAACCTCAGTGCCTCAGAAGGGACCGGCCTGCATTTTCCATGCCAAGTTGGTCTCTTGCATGTGTCTGCTCTCCTCCATATTCCTGTGACCTTAGTCAAAGAAACTGGTGAACTGTCATGACAGTTGCTATGCACAGGCTCGAGAGGGACACAGGCTCTGAGGGTAAATTCCACTCTTCCAGGCTGAGGCAGGCATCTTTTGAACTGGCTACAGCTGCAAAGTGGGGTTAATAATGTCTGCTTCACAGGCTATGTTGATTAGACTTAATAAAATGACTGGGGGCGGGGGGTGGATTTAGCTCAGTGGTGCCACTGCCTGCCTAGCAAATGCAAGGTCCTGAGTTTGATCCCCGGTACCAAAAAAAAGAGAAGGTTTAGGGTGCGGGGGTGGGGGGGGCTGCCTGTAATCTCAGCACTGTGGGAGGCTGAGGCAGGAGGATTGCAAATCTGAGCCCAGCCTGGGCAATTTAGTGACTTAGCAAGACCCTATTTCAAAATAAAAAAACAAAAGGGCCGGGCATATAACTCAGCATGGTGGGGAGGGGCACTGTGGATTTGTTTAAACAAGCTTTCTTCTTTTTCTCTTCCCTGTCCCTGCATGTGATCATTTATCCTTGAGAGGTCAGCAACAAGGTGTTTCCCCAAGGCCAACTTCTAGGATCCTCAAACATCAAGGATCCCTTTGAGTACTTAAACAGAGCATATTGTTTTATAACATTTTATGTGATTATATTTCTAACACTACACATTCCCTCCCTTCAGATAGGATGTACCCCTGTCAGACTAGGAGGCCCTGGTTGTATTTATATAAAACACCTCCCACTTTGTGACTGGCAAGTCCTCCAGATTTATTTTAGAATAGTCATTTTCTGTCTCCTTAGGGAACCACACTACCAGCATGACCACTTTATTGGATGGATCCAATAAAGAAAGCCACGGGTGGTCTTTCAGGCTTAGGTTATGATATAATCATGTTATATATAATAGGAGGCAGTGCAGATTAGTTCAAAAATTGGGCTGCTTGGTTTGAATCTTGGCTTTGCTATTGCCTGCTCTGTGCAGTTTCTGTCCTGTCTCAGGGACTGCACAGAGGTGGGGAGGGACAGAGGCCTGCATCCCTGCTGAATCCTGTCCAGCCTCACAGCAGGGCCTGGCATGGGTGAGGCGTTACCAGGGCCTCTGCCCTCCCAGGAGGGATGGGTATACTGCTCTGGAGAGCTAAGGGGGGAGCGGAGCCAGGGGAGCACACAGGTGCCGGGCCTGATGGTGCCTTTGTCTCACCCTGTATATAGATGACCTTCAGCTTACAGTGAAGTGAAGTCTGGATGACCTCATCATAAGTTGTATTTTAAGTTGCACATGCAGTCCAGACCCCTAATGGAGGGAATAACCTAGTTTAACAAGCCAGCAACGCCCTGTAGTGTTGTGGTTTCCCCTCATGGTCATGTGGACGACCAGGGCTGCAGCTCGCCGCCACTGCCCAGCATCACGAGAGCCTTCCGTGTATGTGGGAGGGTCAAGAGCCAAAATCAAAGTCCTGATGAAAAGTCGTATGGCGAATCGTTCCAGGTCAAGGGATATCTGGATAGCCCAAGGTAAGCCTAATTTGGAGTCCACACAGTTCTTGGGGTAAGTGATAATTTAAGACTCAGATCCATTCAGAGCAAAAAAATAATCCTTATCTGTAAAACAGCTACCTAGTAGGGCTATAGTGAGGGTCAGGGTAGAAACGCACCAAAGGCTGAGCACAGGGACAGGGACCACACAAGTGTTTAACAACCTGACGGAGCATCCTTGCCATCCCTGAGAATATTTCTGGGATCATGTTCAAGCTCATTTTCCCTTTCTTTTTATTGAAGAATGTCTCGATAGCCATGGAGCACAGAGCAGCGGTGAGGTTCTCATTCTCACAGGCCCACCTTCTAAGGAGGCTTTTCTGGCTCTTCAAGATGGCTTCAAGAGGTCACAGGTGTCTCCCAGGACTGGCTGCCAAGAGGCTTGCAATATCGGGTGACATTTTTGAGGTCCCATGGTAGTGGAGAGGCCATTTTTTTCTTTTCCTCAGGGCTGCCTGAAGGGTATACTTCCCATGGTTCCTAAGAAACCACACAGCAGCCTCCAAGGAGGTCTTCACACCCCGAGGAAGAGACCAAAGGCCATGGGAGGTGGGAAGAGGTATCAGCAGCACTCTGTCTACGCAGCACCATCTCAGGTGACGCGAGATTGCTTTCGAACCAGCACATCCCTGTCTCTGGCGCCTGTGTGAGGGGCCAGGTCAGACAGCACACGAAACACCCTCAGTCCCACCTGACTGCAGCACCGCAGGGAAGGCACAGCCAGGTAGGATGAGGGCAACTTCATGTGCTGGAGCAAAGGAGGTATTTGGTCTTTCGGGTTATTTCATTGAGAACTTGTCACTTGTACCTCACTGTTTGGTGAACTGAGGCACTAACATGTGAGAAAGGGAAGGTTATTCTTTCCCTCAAAGCAAAACCTAGAACGTGACCTTGGAAGCAAGCAGTGGGTTAGAGTTATAGTTGGGGAGCAGCTGTGCTGAGGGGAGCAGTGCGGCTCTAATGGCCTGCGTGTTTGTGTCCCTGCAGATTTCCCAATAGCACTACTCCTTATCCCCCCACGCTGGCTGCTAGGATCTCAACACACATCGTTTTCTGGGCATGCAAACCATGCCTTACAGATAACTGCGGGCCAAGCAGCCTGTGAAGAGGAAGAGAAGCCCATACTCCTTCAAGGGGCAGCTGGTTCTCTGCTGAGCATCCACAGGCAGGAGGATGGCCCAGTGTCACCTGATCATCTCATTTCCAGAGAAGTTGGGAAATACGAATTTTATTTTAAACATGAAGATTCAGTTCCTGGTTTTCAAATCCTGATAAATAATAGAAATTTAAAATCTGTGTGTGCCAAACAAAACACATCTCCAGACAGAGCGTGGCTGCCCAGCTTCCACTCTGTGACCTCTGGAAAGACCTATACTCATTCTGATGCTTCAAAGAAAGTTAATAGAGGCAGCAAATACTCACCTAAATAAGGAGCACAGCTGGGACCGCTGCTGCCCACCTGACCTGTGGGTGGTGTTGGCGGCCATCAGGATCATTTTAGAACCACTTCCTGCTGTGAGGTCACCAGCAGTCCCTAACTAAGGGACTCTGGTTCTTGTCTTTGGGTTCAAGGCTACGGGGCAGGTGGCAGAGGGGCAGCATCCTGGGGCTTCTGGAGAGGAAGGAGAAGATAGAGGGAGGTGAGTGCCTCAGGAGACCAGCTTACCACTCATGGTGCCCACTGTTGTTTCCAACATAGCATCTTCAGTTCCTGTGGTGCCTGGGAAAAGCAATGGAGCCTTGACGGGAGACTTCAGCTGAGCCAACAGCAGTCCATCAAGAACCCCTTGAACTCAGTGTACAGAATTTTCATCTGTGACTATTTGTGCAGAAAGATCTGTCCCTTTCACACCCAACTGTTCATGCTCTCAATCATTTCAGGGAGTTCTGGGAGAAGTCAGCCTGCTACCCTTTCTGAGAGATTGAATCAATAGGCACAGCGAGACGAAACTCTGGACAGAACTCTGGACCCTATCTGCATCCCCCAGGAAGCCACCAACCCTGATGGCAAGTGCCCCAAACTCCTAGGACTTGGTTATAACCATTTCCCTAGACTTTGACCTCACTTCCAATTTAGGACCCACAGGAGGAAGACAAAGGTGTGTCTCTCCCCAGTCACATGGGATGCTTGGCTTCTAGTTAGCAGCTTCCTGTTCCCCTAGGCCAACAGCCTCCAATCGGGGATCCTCTGAAACCTTCCCTGTCTTCCACCCCCATGCTTCTCACTCCACTCCTCTCCTGCCTTTGAGTATCTGCCAAAGGCAAGGGCAGTGGCTGGTCCCCTTAGTAGGGCAAGCTTCAAATAAACAGCCGCTGCTTGTTCTCATTTGGTCAGGTTTTGTGCACTGCTCCAGGAACACACACACACCCACACAGTTTGGTTGGGAGTTGGGGTCATTCCAGGCAGGCGGTGATGGCCAAAAACTACCCTCACCCCACGCATGAATGGTGCAGAACAGACTTGGCAAAGGAGGAAGTTCCCAAGGCACAGATGTACCCCACTCTGTCCCAGAGACATGTTTGAAATCATTCTGTTTTGACCAAAAACTTCATTAGACCAGAGACAATGGAGCAATTGTCCCATGGCAGACAAAGAAAGTGCTAGAGCCTTGCAGTTGGTACAGATTTCCAAAGGCTGACGGCCAGCAGTGGAGAAGGCAGAGCCATTAGCTGTGAGTGGGTGCCAGCAACCATGGGAGAAGCCACCCTGTCACCTCCTTGTCAGAAAGAATCACAAGTATTTTTATCAGGAAAAGGCATCTCATCCCCAGAATCCATAACAATGATTTATATCCCCTTCTTCATAAGCCACTACACCAACCTGGAACTTAGCTAAAGAAAGGGCTTGGGGAGCGAATGACATTTTCTAGCGTAAGAACCAAACACTGTCACAGACAAGAGAACCTGAAACACATTATACCTATATTTTGCTGGGAGACGCACTTGGAAATTAAAGAAGTAGAAAAGTATCATACTAATTACAAAGAAGAAAAAGGATGGTTCTGAAATGTTTTTCTCCCCACCCACCCAGTTTCTGATATTTTCAAAGCTTTAAGTGAAGAATTCAGTTTTTTCTTCTGCCCTGACTTGACAAAGCCGCATATAGCAGCAACCACTGCTCAGACTCTGCAGAGGAAGGTGAGGAAGACACGTGGGAGCCTCCCATCCTGGCACAGACCCAGGGGACAGGAAGAGAAGGTGCTAAGCCACCTTTGTTCTGTTTTAAGAATGCCTGCCAATTACTTCAACCAAGGTCCCAATTCTGCCCTTTTAATTAGGCTGACATCGCAGAATTTACTAGAAGAAAAGCAGTCTGGAAATGCGCTCTCCCGTCTCAAGGCTTCTGTGGCGTCACGTGACAGAGCAGTTACTATGGCGATTATCAGCCGCGAGTGGATTGTCCACAAGTTGAACTTGCATCTGACAAGTCAAATTTGTCAGTTTGGGGAAAAAGGAAAGAGGGTTACTTTTTTTTTTTTCTTTTCTCTGGAAGCGATTTCCTTGGCTCCCATAGATGCCTTTTTCCCCTTTCCATCTGGGAGACTTTCTTTCACATTGTAGTTACAGGGTGCTTTTCCTCTCTTGTGACCTGTACTGTCTACAAGAAATCATCACAGCTTGCACCAGTGTCCCTTTCTAATAACTTTGGGGTAAAATAAAACATGTTCTGAGATTCAACTACAGATCTAATAGGAAGCCACAACCACAGCCATGCCTTTTGTGGATGGAAATGGTCTGCCAGAGACTGGTTTCTCTCCAAAAAGCGTCAATTTCCTTTGTTGGCACGAACAACCCTACACAACACGCTAGTGATCATGGGTGTGTGTGCATGTGTGTGTGCTGCTGCTGCTCTTTGTCCCTCAGCAGGTAATGACTTTCACGGCCTGGCTTTATCAGATTGAAAATGAAAAAACCATTTAATAAAGCCAGCTCCATCAAGCCAAGGGACTGCAGGAAGCTGGGGGTGGGGCAGGGGAACCCTGCAGAGCAGGACTGGCAGGCTGGGCATCTGTCAGAGGAGGGCTGTCAGCATGGCTTAATGGGGGACAGTGGAGGAGCCCTGTGCCGGATGAACGCCTGTCTTGGGCCAATGACCACGTCCAGCTTGCTTCTCCTTTGGTTCAGCCCCCAACCCCAAGGTAGCAGGGCCTTAGCCAGTCTTCTGTCTGTGAAGGATGACCTTACCTGCCATGACCTGGAGCCCAAATGCAGCTATTAGACCCAGGCAGCTCGTGGTAAGGCCCTTGAGGCCAGATAGATAGTTTTGTTAGAAGCTATTACAGTCTGATCTTAAATATTTGCCACAAGCTTGCATGTTAAAGTGATGGTCCTCAGCCCATGCCATTATTGGGAGGGGGTGTAACTTTTAAAAGGTGAGGCCAGTGGGGGAAATGAGGTCAGAAGGTTGTGGTCTTCAAGGGGAGAGCTGGACCTAGCCCCATTGCCTCTTTCTGTCTTTTGCTTCCTCTACCACATGAGCCCTGAGCCCCAGAGCAATGGGGCCAACAGATCACAGAATGAAATTTTCAAAAGCACAAGCCAAAGTAAATCTTTACTCTTTTGAATTGATCATCAGGCCTGTTACTGCAGTCATATAAATCTGAGTAATACAAAACCTTTCCATCTCCTCATTTGAACCCAGGACTGAACTAGAAAATAGGGTCTGGTCCACAGCTGGGGCCAGAGGACAGCCTCAGTGTGGGTAGGGAAGGATGGGTCTTTATCCAGCAATGTCCCCTCTGTTTGTTATTCTCAACCTCAAGTTAAAGTTAAAACAACAGGAAAAAACATGCAGTTATGAGCATGTGTCTTTTGTTCTTTTTTATAGTCTAAGTGGAGACTGGTCGCTGAGCCCCTCAATGCATTTGAAGGTATGGAGAGCAAGGTCAGGAGGCCAGAAGATTGGTGTTTAATGCTCTCCATAGAAAAGGACCAGAAATTGAGCAGTGGAGGGTGACAGGTTGGAGAGAGGAGAGAGGGAGGATATCCAGCAGCATAGCTGGAGGCTGGCAAAGAAGAATAGTCACAGCAGGATAGCAGTTCCTGCTTTATCTTATGTCTGTTCCAGTCACAGGCCCACCACTTCTGTTCACAGGAGGAGAGGACACTGATGTGGGCTGGACCATCCTGGCAACTCATCCTCAAGGCTTCAGAGCCTGGGATGTAGGAAAGAGAATGCTGTGCCATAGACACAGGACAGACTTAGACCTTTTCTCCTCAGGGAATTGGCAGGATTTGGTACTGTTCACCTCACTGCTGCAGACTCCCAAAGCAACAGCCCAGTGACTCCCATGCTGGGGCTCTGAGGCTGGTGGCTCAGGAAGAGATTGCGCCTGGCACATTCCCTATTGGGACTGACCAGTGGATGACCAGGGCTCCATATTTCTGGTTCTTTCCTGTGGCTACAGGGTCTTTGTTCTTGGCTCCAGGCCCAGGGACCACCCCTCATGCAAAGTCCTACATCCAGGACTTGTCAGCCCAAGCAAGGGCCCCATGTGGCTAGTGGTGATGAGATGCTGCAGGGAGCTAAGGGAGGACAAGAGGGCTTCCACACAGAGGTGCCACAGTGTGTCACCTGAGCATGGCACACAAGCAACCTGCTGCCTGCAGGCAATGCACTGGTTTGGGAGGTTGGCTCATGTCCTCTGTCAGCTGGGATGTCTTGAGGCCATTTCCTAGAGCCATGGAGGACAGCCAGCCTCTTACAGACTGGAGGATGAAGTACTTCTGGTCCTGCTCAGCCCTGTGAGCGGGGCTGAGGTCAACAAGGGCAGTGAAGCCCCTCCCAGCCTCAACTTCATGTTTGCATCCTATCTGCACAACCACACAGGAGCAGGGCCACCTCCAAGGCCAAAGGCTACGCTGGACACAAACTAGGAGGTGGCTCAAATGTACCCTTAGTGTCTCTCATCCTGTGTTACAAGGATGTCTTCTAAGCACAGGACTCTTAGAAGTTTCAACTTGAAAAGATTTTTGTGGAAGCAGAGCCCTTAAATGATTGTAAGCTCCTGTTCAAAGGGAATTGGTGGGGTGGTTCTCTCAGTACTTTCCCCGCAGAGTCAACTGTTTATGCTGCAGGAACAGGATGAGGGTGCAAGTGCCTGGCTCCAAGGGGGTTATTTTATTTTTCTAATTGCTGCAAGGTACCAATCTCTAGGAGCTTAGTGTTCTCTCTTGCTCCTTCATGTGAATAGAAATGCAGGCTGGGAACCAGAGCTGGAAAACCAGATGCTTTGAGCACTTGAGCAGCTGAGGTAACAGATAGAAGAGGGTCTTACTCCCCAGCGCCACATCCATCCCAGACTGGAGATGCTCAGGGCCTGAGCTGGGGTATAGGAGCACCCACACTTGGTGGGGCTGCCTCTGCCTCCCTCCTTCACAAGCTACAGGAAGGTGCAGAATTCTCTAGAAACATGAGGGGACAGCTGGCCACTCCCACCCCTCCCAGCTCCCCAAAGATCAGCTCAGCCCAAGGCTTTGCCTGCTTTTAGCCTGCCTGAGGCCCTCCTCACTTAATTCTTAAATCAACCCTAGGAGGAGGGATTTTACAGAAAGGAGTCCTCCATAGTGAGATTCTAGCCCACACTGTTTAGCCTGGGGCTTGTGTTTTAG